AGGATAGTCCTAAAACAATATCCTGAAAGAATTTCATTCTGAAAATAGGGTAAATTAAGATGGCTTCTGCTTACTTGTACTTACTCAGATGAAGGCAGCAAAACCACCTTTAAATGGCATGATTTAAGAGAATTGGAGGCCTCAGATTCCAGTAGTAATCTTTGTACTTCTGAACACACAATAGAATAATGCAATTCTTATGATGTCTACTCCTATTTATAGCAATACTATGACTCAAATGCCAAGGCTGACAAGCTGCTTTCTTGCCTAGTAATTCCTAGCTCCTTCCCTACTGAGGAGGCCAATAAAGTAATGGTTTCTTTTCTTGTTAAGAACTGACAATGATTCCTGGTTTACATGTCCAGAAGAGCCATTTTATAAGATTACAGGCTAACAAGGCAGCAAAAGCTTCAAGCAGCTTACCTTACTGATTTGAAACAAAGATTATTTAAAACTGGTTTTTAATTAAATACTAATCAAGCTACCTTTTCTATGCTAAGAAATAAACCTTCAATTGACAGCTAAGAAATTTAAGCAGTTGAATGCAGTTTCCATTAGTTAAAGCCAGTGGTCCCCAAGAAGGAAATAAGCATTCATGACAATAGTCAGCCAAGAATCCCAGTACTCTCCCCTTTGTGGGACATTATGTATCAGTTATTTTTACCGTGGTTGTAAAAATATGTGACAGTCAACAGAAAAATTAAATTCCACAGAGAACTATATTTCTTACTTTTTTATGTACTGAAGGGATTCTAATTTATATTTTTATTGTTTCCATAACAGCAGGGTACTCCTATTCATACCAACAGGTGATACAATAGCACTGTAATAACTGACGAATTTGAAATAAATGAAAAAACAGCAAGTGGTTAAAATATTTCTTGCTCCTGCTCCAAAGTTAAGTGATTTGGAAGAAGTCTGCACCTCAGGAAGGTACTGAAATATTAAAAAATCATACTTTTTTCAGGAACAGTTTGTTTTCTGTCCTCCACAAGTGAGGAGGAAACTTGACACTTTTTTCACTTAAAAATCAAAATGCCTTTATATGATTAAAAGTCTTATTATTTTTACATCTCAGATATTTATTTTTAAATACAAGTTCCATAAGCCAGTTCTGGAAAAGTTAAGATTTAGAAAAACCTTGTCCTGCAGGTAGTAAGAGCTAACACAGTAAAATCAACAGCATTGCCTCAGTTTACATTAGTTACCATGATCTCCGCTGTTGAGACTAGAAAACACTATAAAAACATGTTGTTTCACAGGTTTTTCTTTTTTGCCAAATGGATTTGAGACAGTACATTAGTACAAATATCAACTGACACTCCTCAAACTGCAAAAACTACTACTACTACAGAAACTACTTGTGTGCAAAGTGAACTATTTCTGTCTCTTATTTAAAAACGACCTGGAAACACAGAGCACTCTGAATGTAAGTAACAGTAAGTGTGGATTTTTAGTATTAAAAACCAGTTTCTTACCTCTCTAAAAGCTCTAGGAAGGTCATTCACCCAATGTAAACTGAAATAACAGAAGTGTACAGTTTATAATAGCATATAAAAAAACCCACTATGGAATGCAAGTAATTGTTACATTGTTTAAGGATGTTTGAGAACCCAAAGCAACAAACTAAGCTTCTCAAGCAGCAAAACTTCTGAAACGCCTCCTTAGAAGTGATACTGAACAAAACCTAAAATTTATACAAGCGGTTTGGGTTTTTTTTGTCCTTTCTTTTTTTTTTTTCAAACTAAGAAACAAGCCTTGGAAACCAGTTAGTCAAAATGCAGAAAGACAGGCTACATGTGTCTTAAAGGAAAACAAATCGGAACTACCAGAATAGTAGTTTTTTTCCTCATGCACACTCATACTAAATAAGCAAGTACGTTTTATACAGCTTGACTTATTCCTGTTTAATTTTTTTTTTTTTCAAACTAAGAAACAAGCCTTGGAAACCAGTTAGTCAAAATGCAGAAAGACAAAGGCTACATGTGTCTTAAAGGAAAACAAATCGGAACTACCAGAATAGTAGTTTTTTTCCTCATGCACACTCATACTAAATAAGCAAGTACGTTTTATACAGCTTGACTTATTCCTGTTTAATGGACTATTTTTTCCTCCTTAAAGTTACTCTCAAATCACGTTATTTAACATCTTCACCCAAGAAATAGATTATAAGTAATTAATGGATACCTTAAGCTGCTAACAACAAGATCAAATGTATCTTCTTTGAAAGGAAGGGATTCCTCATCAGCTATAACATTGACAGTGGGGATTTCAGATTCTATAGCATTTTTCTGATGTTGGGGTAGAAGAAAAACAATATCAGAAACCCATTTTCCTGTTTTTGAACTGAGACACATTAGCTTTCAAAAAGCCACTTACTAAAGCATTTTCTGCAATATCAACTTGAATCAGTTTTTCGACAGTTTCCTGAAATAAAATTTTAAACACCTGTCAAATATTAAAGCTGTTTAGTACGTTGACATTAGTAATTTGTTTTCAATGCTTATACATATTTGTATTAAGTTGGGAGCAATCTGCTTAACACTTGATCAAACTTTAGGTACAGCTGAAAGCATTTTTTCCCCCCAACATAATACTTAGTAATTGCTCCCAGGGAGAACAGCTAAGGTAAAAGCAGAAACAGAAAATACATTCTGCATTTTGAGGCCTAAATTCAGTCAGACGTGAGCCATGGATTAACAGCCAATGAAGTACCTTTATTTATGGCTTGGTTCACAGAGGGCAAATTGCTCACCATTTAGAAGTCTCCCTAATGATACTTCTCTCCACGTGCATTCAAAGATCGATCAAATAACATGGACACTCCTTCTGAAGACTAAACATTAACTGTCATGGAGCAGGTAGCTCCCACAGCACTGCTATCTGTCTAGTCTTCAGTGGCAATATATACAGAACAACAACATGCATAACACACTATTGGACTGTAGCTACAGCTGTGAAGGGGATGGTAAAAAGGAGTCACCTCACCAAGGGTCAGAGGATTATTTTAAGTTATAATGGAGCCCTATTTGAAAACAGAGACACGAATATCTAAGTATTTTACATACATTTAAGTACGAAGAGCTGGTACCTTGGTTAGATGCTGAGCTATGTAACCTCTTCCAGAGCCAACATCCAAAGCAAGAGGAAACGTTCTGAAGCATAAGTTTAGCGACAGAAAATATAAATCAAGACTTCAGCTATTTTACGTTTTAGACAGCAGGAAGTTCTGTCTGCTCATTGCCAAACGTCTCGTGGAACGCGGAGCATCCTTCCGCGGTCACGGCCCCGGGCAGGGGCTGCCCCTTACCTGGTGATGTCAAACACCCTGTCCGCGATCCTGCTGCCGACCTGCGGGGAGAA